TAAATTAGACAAATAAATAAACTGCTTTAAACAGAAATCTGTTCTGCTGAGAATTATGATTATAATTTGGGGAGTATGAGGAGGGGGATACAGGAGCTCAAGTTTATCCTATCTGGGTATTCTCTGGATTTAGGTGCTTCATCTGTATCCTCCAGTAAATTGAAAGTGATGGTGTTCTATTCATTTCTTATTTCATTTCATTTCTATGCTGTTGAGCAGCTAACATGCATTGGCACCAAATGCACAGCTCAACTACACAACAGAATAAAAATTATAATGATCAGTCCCTTCCAAGCCAAAATGTGAATGCCTCAGGGCTGTTTCACCATTAACTTAGGCCAAACGCTTCAGCTCATCAACCACCTCATGAAGTTTCAGATTGTTCATCATCCCCCAAACGTGTATTCTATGAAAATAATTTAATAATTTAATTTAATAAATACTATTTCAACTAAAACTGCTATGAACAACAACAGCCCAACTCTGACTTCTTGGATAGTCAATCCTTGGGGGTGGTAGTAGGGTCCATGTTGGCCACTTTGGGGAATCTTGCCTTAAGAAAACCTAAGAAACTTTTATTTCTAGCTTCTCAGCTATCCTGGGAATAAAACTTTAAACACTTAACTTTTTAATAAAACTTTCAAGCTTCAACCATTTTCAACTTAAAAAAACAAAAAAAAACTTTAGAACTGGTTGAATCTCTCTTAGCAGGGATTTTAGAACTAGTTGAATCTCTCTTAGCGGGGATTTTCTGCAGGAGGGTTTCTAAAGAAAAGTTTCCAGGCTTTTTCAGCGGGAAGTCATGCTCTGAAATAAATAAATTGGCATAGAATTGATAAAAGCTGCTAGGATGCATTTATACCCCACGTATCACTTTGGTCTGAGGTTTCTGCTGCCTTTGAATAGTCTGTACCGAAATACAATCCTCCTGTCATTCAGTGAGTTTTCACGAGCTTCTTGTTAAGATTCTGAAGGCACTGGGTTCGAACACAGCTCTCTTTTTCTTTTTATTTAACCCACAAGCTCCCTCAACTCAATTCTTTACTGTATATGAAAGATGTTCAATAGTTTGAGAGTTCATTAATAATTCTCTTTGGATTTTATTTCCCTCTCGTATCATAAGAGAATCACACTCAGCAGACAACTTCGCAAAGAGGCATTTTGAGGTTCCTAATTCCTTTACAATGCAAGAATGGAGCTAGATTTATTGGATTACAATTCCCATCATTCTTGACGAGCATACCCAACGGTCTAGATGCTGCTATTTGATAACATTTGGAGAACCTTTTGCACTGTAATAACTCTGAGCGAGCGGCAGAAAGGTCTGACCATTTAATTCTTAATAACTCTAATTTATCACTCAAGTATACACTCCTCCACTATAAGCATAAAAAAGTGAATTGCCATGTTAAGAATTACCACATTAAGATTAAATACTGAGAGAGGCAGAGATATTTTATTTGCATTTGGAACAGCTGTGTCCCCCATTATGTTCTATAATTATGACATATGCAAGTTCTAAACGGATGCATTGCTTCCATTAAAAAAAAAATCACATTGGGAAAAGGGAGAACATTTTCTCGTTTTCATGAATATCAAATGCAGATCACCATCTGTGCTCTTTACTTCATGCCCATCTTCAAATAAGCTGCTTAACTCTGCTCTTTTCTTTCCTCACCTAGCTCTCTTTTTAATGCCCAATTTAGCTCTTCACCTCTTCAGGCTCATCATTGTCTTAAAAATGATGGCTACATGACATGCCCGTGTAGTATTCTTGGCAGTGACTTTCCTTTCTTCTCTACGTTTTTTCCAACTTCCCAATCTATTCTACATATCCTGATATCTCACATCCAAGTATTAAACAAGTTTTATTTCAAATAGGTTTTTTTTCTTGAAACTGAAGTGGCTAAGTGACATCATTGCTTACTTAGTAGCTGGTATGACAGAGTTTTATGTGATTTTCTTTTATAACGAATGTTTAATTCCTTGTTTAATTTCATGTTTACTTTATTTATCTGATAATATGGTGGCGTGATGCCATTTGAGCATTTCTGAAGCTTACCTTTGCTCCGCCAAACCCATGAAAAACTTCTCTGCTTCTGCTCTGTAGAGACCCCTTAATTAATCCAATAAAAATAATTGAAAATAGGGGTAGAAGTAGGTTTACTTCTAAGGCCTAGAACCATTTGCGCAGGTATGCACAGATGGCTACTCAATTACTAATTTATACACCCTCTTAGGATTTTGCCTGGAGGATTTCAGAATGCTGGATTCCCCTTTTCTCCTAGCTGCTATATAAAGATGAATATCTGCCCTCTACATCTCCTGGTTAGGAATTTTACTGAGCAGTTTTTCTTCGTTCCTTGATGTTTGTTTAATTGGATTGGCCAGAAGGCTTTGGCAGCATACATGGAAATTTCGATTATGTATGAATATTATTAGTGGAGCTTCTAGTAATTGATGACTATGGTGCTTCACATGAAATTTGCATTTCTGGAGATTTCATTGTGCCAAGTGACCCCCAACCTCCCATTTTTTCCTGCAGCTGTGCATTCCTTAAGTGAAATTGGAAGTCCAGCTCCAGTTTGCCTTTTGATATTACCAATATGTCAGCGCTTTGCAGTCCGTTGAAGGGTTTGGCATTAAGCATGAAGCTGACTGCCTGTTGGAACCATCTGTTGCTAACTCCCACCCTGGTCTGAAATCCTATCGTTTAATATGTCTAATATTTCAAATATTTGCCTGTTGGTTGTATGCGGATTTTGCATTCTTTACTCTTAATGTCATTGGGAGCTGCCACTTCCTGTTTTTTTTTTTTTTTTTTGAGGCTCTTGTCAGAACAGCTATTTTTCTAATGTGGAAAAAAATTGAAGCAACATTTGGGCTGGGTAACATTTATTCTTCCACCTGAGAAATTTATTTTGAACCATTCAAATGAAATAATTATTCCTTTTGTTATTCCTTTTGTTTTATAAGTTTATTATATTGTATTTTTTTTTATTATGCTTGATTTTACTGTGCACTATTCAGAGTCAGTTTGAAGTTGGGTGGTACTTCAAATGAAGAAATTGAACAAATTGTTTATGGAATTTGATCAATTTGTACACAAAAGATTTTATTATATTGTTCATGAAGAGTACATGTTGTAAGGTATGCATGGTGATTATGGAAAACAACAGTTTCTCATCAAAACTCCAAAAATATAGCAGGGTTCAACATAAACTTTTTAAAAGATGTAAACTTATTGTAGGTATTATAAATCTTTTCTTATAATCCTTGTTTTTGTCTTCATTCAAGAAGTCAGTCTGTAAATTCTATTTGTAGTTTCAGTGAATCATTGTTTCTTTGATATAAAGTTTTCAGTTCTCTGATGAATTGAAGTGTATATTGTCAAATGCTTTTTTTGCTTTCCTCTGTCTCTGCAACATGTTTTGCATCCACTGGTAGATATTTTACTACTGGCTAATAGGTAGGAGTGGAGGGCATTAAGGTTTTTAAAATATATTGTAATGATGTAGAGTCACACTTACCAGTTGGATAACCACATAAATGAAGGGTCCTTGATGTTCTGTGAGCTGGGTGGGTGTTGTTTTTTTTGCAAATGTTTCATTACCTAGCTAGGTAACATCATTAGTACTAGAAGGAAATGGAGTCTACTGTTATTTTAATACCAATGGCTTGCTCTGTCAGTATTAATAGAAGTGTTTTTGGTGGTTCTGTGATTAGGTTGTTGTTTGCTGTTAGCTTATAACACTAGCACTGATGATGTTACCTAAATTGGTAATGAAATGTCTACAAAACCACCAAGCTCAGAGAGCACCAAGGACTCCACTGTTCAATCCCAAGCCACTAATATTCTCTTCTACTGATACCATATAAATATGTTTAATAAATAAATAAATAAATAAATTTAGTGTGAGGGAAAGGACAGAAAGTCTGCCTTTAAACCTGTGCTTAAAAATAGCTTGCAAAACATCTGATGGGCATAGGTGTCTGAAGTTGAATGGTGAAGAGGGTGAAAATTTCCCTGCTATATTGTGCAAATGTCCTTCTAGGTGTTAGCTCTTCCTCAGGCTACTTTTAAACAGGGGTTCAGATGAACTCTGAAAAAGCAGTAAAGCCATGTTCAAAAGCAGCCTGAAAACTGATTTAGCATGATTTCCATACTGTAAAAACTTCTGCCTCTAATTAGAGCTGACTTGGAAAACAACTGATAGACAGGAGAGAAGTGATGGTTATGTGGTGGCCGGAGAACTTCCCAGTGTCCCGTTCCTCTTATTTGCTTTATTTTGGGAGGGGGCTGGTTGTTAACAGTTGACAGTTTTCTACTTTTCAAGGGAGCTGTCACAAACCCATAGACAAGGGGTCCCACACCTTGGCAACTTTAAGACTTGCAGACTTCAACACCCAGATTTCCTCAGCCAGCAAAGAATTGAAGTCCGCAAGTCTTAAAGTTGCCAAGGTGGAGACCCTTGCCATAGATCAGATCAGCTACTGATCTGGGGGGTGAGAAGGCTGATCAGTAAAACAGGAGATCCTCTCCTAGGTTTTATTTACCAGTCTTCACACACCGAGCTGATCAGCTGCCTTGGAGGTCGGCCATCTGTCAAAGCTTGCCCCCTCCTTAAACTTCATTCCATGTTTAGATAAATGATTGGGGAATATTTCCCCAGCAGCTGACAATATTTGGTAGGAGGGAAGGGAAACAAAGATGGGGAAACCCAGTCACCTTTTGCAGACAGAGTGACTAAGGCAGAGTAGCATTTGGCAATGGGGACAGCAAAATTTATACTGGTGTAGTTTGATGCTGACTCAGTGATGGTTGGAGGGCAATAAATCTTATGCAGGCTAAAGAGCCGTAACTCAGTCTTCCTATATCTGATGCTCCCCAGAGAATTTAAAAGCAACCATTGGCATGCTGACTGCAGATATGGAAGAAACCAAGTTGGTGAATGTTCTTAATCTTCTGGGAAAGACTTTAGACATGAGTGTTTACTTACCCTGTTGTGGCTGGTCCTTGGATTGCACAATGTTGTCTTGTATGCTGTCACCACTACTTTTGTGCTTTGCTGTCTCAACAGTCTCCTGCTTTGTACTTTTGAGAGGTTCACTGGGATTGAAGGGTTGATCTTTCTCAACCCATGTCTGCTTGGCTGACACCTTCTTCTTTGCATTCTCTTTTCTTTCTCCTCGGATATGATTCCACGAGTTTCTAATTCAATGAGAAATATATTCACAACTGGTAATAAGAATTTTACAAAATATGTAAAATGAGTTTTGGGAATTTTGTTATTCCTCAGCATCCATTCTCAAACCTAGTGATCTCTAAAAGTCAAAGATTACAGCTCCTATGATTTACTTACTATACTAGCTGAAAATTAGGAAATATAAAATAAAACATCTCGGAGAATCTAAATAAGTAAAGGTGACACCAGAAATCTATGTAAGCATTCCAAAAATTATTTGAAGACTAGAAGTATGAAAATTACTGGTTTGTATGAATGAACTTGGGTACAAAGAATTCAGTCAGGGGTGGGCTTCAAAAATGTTAGTAATGGGTTCTCTGCCTGGTTGCTGGGTGGACATGGCCATGATGGGCATGGCCTACTCAGCTTCCTGTACCACAGCAGGGTGGTGGTGGTTTAGCCCTCCCAAGGCTGCAGAGGCTTTCCTCAAGCTTCTGGGAGGGTGAAAATGGCTTCCCCAGGCTCTGGACGTTCTCTTGAAGCTGGAAATGGGCCCATTTCCAGCCTTCCCAAACTTCCAGAGGACCGTTTTTCGCCTTTCCCGAGCCTCAGTGCGCACCCTGCACTTACCTGCATCCACAACGGACCATGTGGGGACTCCAGGCAGGGGAGGGGCAGAATGGGCGGGGCCAGCCAGGAGTGGGATTTGGGGGTTCTCCAAACTGCATAGAATCTTAGCTAGGGGCCCGCACGAACCCCTGCAAACCCCCAGCAGCCCACCCTTGACTACAGCTAAATGTGAATGCCATGAAAGAAGTGTGTCTTTAGCTAAGAGTCAGAATCAAACTAATTGTAAAAGTGAAGAATCTAGTAAAAGCAACATAACAAATGCTTTTAACATTTTTTTGTAGCACTGCATTTTAAGAGAAGCAAAAAAAAAATTGCAAAAACAAACACTGTTTTAACAAAAATGCCATAAGAATGAACCATTCTCTCATAGCCCTAGCCAACACGATGAAATTTGAACTACTAGACAACACCTGACCTGTTGGCTCATCATTTCAGAGATATTTTCTTACCTAAACTGAGAAAAGAATGTCCAGAGGAGAGCAAAAAAGCACCGGGAGCAGGAGCAACTTCTAATTTCTGCTGCCTTCCAAATTGACTTTCCTTGTGGGAAGCTGGCAGGGAGCATTGGCAATAATAAACACAAGACTGTGGCTGAGTCGGGCAACATGGGGGTGTGGCAGCATGGTTGCATGGCAGTGGCCATAACTTTGCCAAATTTCAATTCCATGGCCTAAATTTTGGATGCATTCTGTAAGTTAGCCCATGTGATGTGTGATGATTCAAAAATTGTTATCCTACGTTAGCCTGTTCTGTTAACTGAAGATTACAAGCAGACAAACTGGAGAGTTTTAGTAGCATATAGATTTCAGCTATTTTGTGGTTCAAGATGATGCACTTTAATTATCAGTTTTGTACATTTCTGTTTTATATACATTTTGTTTGCTTGTAATGCTTATCTTTTTAACATGTCTCCCTCTTCTATAGTTTTAGTCTAATTTTTGTGTATATATGTATGTATGTATGTATGTATGTATGTATGTATGTATGTATGTTGTGGCTCCGGGCTTGGATTCAGCTCCTGTGATTGATATGAGTTCAAGTGAAGAGG